TCCCAGTGGCCAATCCCCCAGCGGCCAATCCCCCAGTGCCAATCCCCCAGTGGCTAATCCCAGTGGCCAATCCCCAGTGGCAACCTCCAGTGGCTAACCTCCAGTGGCCAACCTCCAGTGGCTAACTCTCCAGTGGCCAACCTCCAGTGGCCAATCCCCCAGTGGCTAATCCCCGCACAGGCAACCTCCAGTGGCCAATCCCTCCAGTGGCTAATCCCCCAGTGGCTAACCTCCAGGGTAACCCCAGTGGCTAATCCCCAGTGGCTAACCTCCAGTGGCCAACCTCCAGTGGCTAATCCCCCAGTGGCCAATCCCCAGTGGCTAATCCCCCAGTGGCTAACTTGAGGTAACGTAGATAAAATTTGAGCAGGTGATTCTGGTTTACTCGCTCTCCTCCTCCTGGTGGAACAGTTTTATCACCTTTGCTCATTTCCGGCCCCTACACACACACACACACACACACACACACACACACACACACACACACACACACACACACGCACACACACACACACACACACGCACGCACGACACACACACACACACACACACACACACACACACACACACACACACACACACACACACACACACACACACACACGCACGCACGCACGCACACACACGCACACACACACACACACACACACACATATCTTCTGAGTCTAGCATAATAACTAAAACCGCTTGAGTAGGTTAACTTTACCCCTAACCTGACCTTGCCTGACCTGACCTGACGTAACCTGACCTGACCTGACCTAACCTGACCTGGACCTGACCTGACCTGACCTAACCTGACCTGACCTAACCTGACGTAACCTGACCTGACCTGACCTAACCTGACCTGACCTAACCTGACCTGACCTGATCTAACCTAACCAGACCTGACCTAACCTAACCTAACCTAACCTGACCTAACCTAACCTGACCTAACCTAACCTAACCTGACCTGATCTAACCTAACCTAACCTGACCTGACCTGACCTGACCTGACCAACACATACACGGTCGACAACTATCCGACTATCTAATTGTAAAGAACCACATGGCCTGGCTCGCGACTGGCCACTTCCGGCTCCTCATACTTCCTGCTGGAGCCGGATTGGTTTGTGCACGTGACTTCTAGCCAATCAGCGTTCACGGCGTCATCACGTGGTGGAATCTGACGTGACGTAAACAACATTAGATAGATAGATAGATAGATAGATAGATAGATAGATAGATAGATACATAGATAGATAGATAGATGTCTCATTCCAGGTTATACACAAATATACATAGACAATACATATAAGTAAATAGATTAAAAGGATATGTAAATATATACTAATTAACATAAAAGTGAATAATATGAATAAATTAACAAAATATTAACATTAAAAAGGTTAATTTATGTTAAAAAAATTACATATGAAATAAAGTTGTAGTTAGGATTTGTTTAGCTGATAAATATTGGTGTGTGTGTGTGTGTGTGTGTGTGTGTGTGTGTGTGTGTGTGTGTGTGTGTGTGTGTGTGTGTGTGTGTGTGTGTGTGTGTGTGTGTGTGTGTGTGTGCTCAAACCCTCCCTCATCTTCCTCCTCCTCCTCATCTTCCTCCTCATCTTCCCTCCCTCATCTTCCCTCCCCATCTTCCCTCCCTCATCCTTCATTTCCTCCTCCTTCGTAAGTTCACTGCCTTCTTATCACCCTCCCTCTCACCCCCTCACCCTCCCCATCCTCCACTCTCACCCTCTCCACCTCCTCCTCACCTCCCCACCCTCCTCCTCACCTCCTCCCTCTCACACCTCCCTCCTCCTCTCACCTCCTCTCACCTCCTCCTCCCACCACCTCTCTCACCCTCCTCTCACCTCCCATCCTCCTCCCACCCTCCCCCACTCCCACTCTATGTGTCTACCCTTCTTCCTCATTCTCCTTACGCCCCCTCCTCTGTCTCCGCCCCCAGCACTTGGCCAAGGAGCAGGAGGGGGAACGGGGGAGGGAGGGAGGAGGGGAGGGGAGGTGGACCTGTAGAGCTCCTCACTAGAGACATTAAATCGATACACTCACCGAGGCCCAGGTACTTACACCCCCTCCCCCTTCCCTCCCCCCTTCCTCCCCCCTCTCCTTTTGTTTACACACAGAGGGACACCACTCCACCTCAGAAAAGAGTTGTTTGATTCCTGTAATTCCTGTTTACTCTTCAGTCTTTGTTTACACTTGAGCGGTTTGTTTACACTTGAGCGGTTTGTTTACACTTGAGCTGTTTGTTTTAACTTGAGCGGTTTGTTTACACTTGAGCGGTTTGTTTACACTTGAGCGGTTTGTTTACACTTGAGTGGTTTGTTTACACTTGAGTGGTTTGTTTACACTTGAGTGGTTTGTTTACACTTGAGCGGTTTGTTTACACTTGAGTGGTTTGTTTACACTTGAGTGGTTTGTTTACACTTGAGCTGTTTGTTTACACTTGAGCTGTTTGTTTACACTTGAGCTGTTTGTTTACACTTGAGCTGTTTGTTTACACTTGAGCGGTTTGTTTACACTTGAGCGGTTTGTTTACACTTGAGCGGTTTGTTTACACTTGAGCCGTGAAATAAACTGGGGTGTCTAATCTTCTGGTGACTCCATAAGCGCTTCAACATGTCGTCTGGCGCAGAAAAAATCCACCTCAGGCATTTGTTCGTCTGGCGTAAAGATTTATACAAAGTCTATCCATAGAAAATGTCAGGCGCTGGTGATCGCTCGTGCTGGCGTTGCTTTTATGGCATAGAGGCCCATTGATAGTTGATTGGTTGATTACCTCCACCCACTTTTGACGTCCTAGAAGTTGATTGGCTACTGGTTGCTAATGGAGTCATATAGCTAGTAGTTGATTGGCTGCTGGTTGCTAAGGGAGTCATATAGCTAGTAGTTGATTGGCTGCTGGTTGCTAAGGGAGTCATACAGCTAGTAGTTGATTGGCTGCTGGTTGCTAAGGAGTCATACAGCTAGTAGTTGATTGCTGCTGGTTGCTAAGGAGTCATACAGCTAGTAGTTGATTGGCTGCTGGTTGCTAAGGAGTCATACATAGTAGTATGATTGGCTGCTGGTTGTTAAGGGAGTTATACAGCTAGTAGTTGATTGGCTGCTGGTTGCTAAGGGAGTCATACAGCTAGTAGTTGATTGGCTGCTGGTTGCTAAGGAGTCATACAGCTAGTAGTTGATTGCGTTGGTTGCTAAGGGAGTCACAGCTAGTAGTTGATTGGCTGCTGGTTGCTAAGGAGTCATACAGCTAGTAGTTGATTGGCTGCTGGTTGCTAAGGAGTCATACAGCTAGTAGTTGATTGGCTGCTGGTTGCTAAGGGAGTCTTGCTAGTAGTTGATTGGCTGCTGTTGCTAAGGAGTCATATAGCTAGTATGATTGGCTGCTGGTTGCTAAGGGAGTCATACAGCTAGTAGTTGATTGGCTGCTGGTTGCTAAGGAGTCATACAGCTAGTAGTTGATTGGCTGCTGGTGCTAAGGGAGTCATCAGCTAGTAGTTGATTGGCTGCTGGTTGCTAAGGGAGTCATACAGCTAGTAGTTGATTGGCTGCTGGTTGCTAAGGAGTCATACAGCTAGTAGTTGATTGGCTGCTGGTTGCTAAGGAGTCACAGCTAGTAGTTGATTGGCTGCTGCTAAGGAATACAGCTAGTAGTTGATTGGCTGCTGGTTGCTAAGAGTCATACAGCTAGTAGTTGATTGGCTGCTGGTTGCTAAGGGAGTCATACAGCTAGTAGTTGATTGGCTGGTTGCTAAGGAGTCATACAGCTAGTAGTTGATTGGCTGGTTAAGGAGTCATACAGCTAGTAGTTGATTGGCTGCTGGTTGCTAAGGAGTCAACAGCTAGTAGTTGATTGGCTGCTGGTTGCTAAGGGAGTCATACAGCTAGTAGTTGATTGGCTGCTGGTTGCTAAGGGAGTCATACAGCTAGTAGTTGATTGGCTGCTGGTTGCTAAAGTCGCACGCTAGTAGTTGATTGGCTGTTTTCTAAGAGTCATACAGCTATAGGTTGATTGGCTGCTGGTTGCTAAAGTCGCCTGCGTAGTTGATTGGCTGCTGGTTGATAGAGTCATACAGCTAGTAGTTGATTGGCTGCTGGTTGCTAAGGGAGTCATACAGCTAGTAGTTGATTGGCTGCTGGTTGCTAAGGAGTTATACAGCTAGTAGTTGATTGGCTGCTGGTTGCTAAGTGAGTCATACAGCTAGTAGTTGATTGGCTGCTGGTTGCTAAGGGAGTCATAGCTAGTAGTTGATTGGCTGCTGGTTGCTATTTTTGTAGTTTTGTGGTTAGTTTATGAGTTACGTATTTTGGTTTTTGTTGTGAGTTACGTCTTTTGAGTTACATATTATGAGTTAAATATTTTGAGTTATATATTATGAGTTACTTGTTTTGAGAGTTATGTATTTTGTGAGTCAGTTTCTTATTTTGTGAGTTACGTATTTTGAGTCATATTTGGAGTTTTGTTGTGAGTTACTTGTTTTAGTTATATATTTTAGGTTACATATTATGAGTTACGTATTTTGAGTTACATGTTTTGAGAGTTACGTATTATGAGTTATGTATTTTGGGAGTTACGTATTTTGAGTTATATATTATGAGTTACATATTTTGAGTTACGTTTGAGTTACATGAGTCGTGTTTTGAGTTTTTCCTCATACCTTGTGACATAAGAACGTGTTTATGGTAATTATTTATGATTATATTAAAACAAATCAAAATGGCGTCAAAATTATGTTGAGCCTGGACTGATCCACTAAGACTCTGGACTGATCCACTAAGACTCTGGACTGATCCACTAAGACTCTGGACTGATCCACTAAGACTCTGGACGATCCACTCTGACTGATCCACTAAGACTCTGGACTGAGCCACTAAGGCTCTGGACTGATCCACAGCTCTGGACTGATCCTGACTTGACTGCCACTAAGACTCTGGACTGAGCCACTAAGACTCTGGACTGATCCACTAAGACTCTGGACTGATCCACTAAGACTCTGGACTGA